AATGAAGAAGAAAAAAAAAATCAATGAAAATATTACAAAATGTCAGCTCATCATGGGCAAAAACAGAGTTCTTCCACTCTTGTGGAGCCTTAAATAAGGAAAAGTGACTGATAATAATATCCTTATCACAATTTTTTGGCAGACGCTGTCACCATGGCAACATTCACATTGCGGTGTGCCGCCACTGGACACTTTTTTTTTGTTTAAAGACACTTTTTTTAATGCGTAAACACAGCATTAACCTGATTCATTTTTCCTGATGGTGAGAACTTGGCTGAGTTTAGCCTAGTTGTTGTTGTTGTTGTTGTTGTTGACCACAGCAAAGAAAAAGTTCAGAACTTTGAAAAAGCAACTTTGACATTACAATCATCAACGATTTGCACAAAACACTGACGTCCAGTGCTGTAAAAGGTCGGCTTTGGGTTAAGCAGCCTTTACCTACTGTGGTGCTGCTTGATAATTGTATACAAATATATATATTCTTATTCAAACTATCAGTTCCACCTTAAATGCTGCAGCAGTTACATTCAGGTGCCTTATTTAGCCTTTACTGTCTGTGCTACAAAAGACTGGAGTTGGCTTCTCATCCGAATTTTCCATTCTACCTAAAAAAAGTGCAGCAGTCACACTCTGGCCCCATTTAAGGTGGAACGCAAGATCTGAAACAGAAGGTGGCGAATAAGACATCAACTTCACCAGTGTTATTTTGTCAATTGATACAGTAACTGATTACAGCAATAGGGGCTATTTTCTAAACGTTTAGCTAGAATGCAGTAGGTTATTGGTGGTGGTCATCCTCACTATAGCAATGTCTGTGAGAGGGACCCCCGTTTTCTTAACCAGGACCCCCTTAAACAAAACTCTGGCTACACCTCTGGCATTCACTCAGACACTCACACCCCAAATCTCTAGGTTAGATCGGCCCTCTTCCACCTGGACTACTGATTGAAAAGCTGATTTTCTTGATTGATTGGCACCCATACGATTCGTAATGCATCATCACCCAGATGCGCTCTGATTGGGCAGCTTGAGTGCTGGACTTACAGGAAAGCCATTTGTGTTCTCCAGGGAGAACTGAGTCCTCACCACATCAGGAACCTGAAAACACGGGCCAGGGTATTAGTCCGCACACCTATACACACACACACACACACACACTCCAACAGCTTTAATATAAATGAGTGAATTAATTAATTAATACAGTACGGTGCACAAGTCAGAGACCACTCTCTATCTCAACTACAAAGCAGAAGTCGTCTCAAACATGACAATGAGTTCATTCATTCATATGTATATATATATATATATATTATATATATATATATATATATATATATATACATATATATATATATATATATATATATATATATATATTGCTGTTGTTGGAACAAAACCTTGTATCTCCAAAATGGTAACTTTACAGAAGAAGAAAAAAAAAAAACTACTTCACGTTTAATGTAAGTCAATGGGCCGTTTCTTTTGGTCCGTTCATCATGAAATTTACACATAATGTAAAGAACAACAGGCATTTTCAAATTATGTCAAAAAAACTAAAAAATGACAATTTTTATAAAAAACATTTTTTATAAAAAACATTTTTTATCTCCATTTTTCAGTTTTTCACATAATTTTAAAATGTCTGTTGCTGTTTACATTATGTGTAAATTTCATGAAGAACAGACCAAAAGAAACGGCCCAAAATGACTTGGAAAAAAGTCTGATTACACTGACTTACATTAAAGCATGTTTTTTTCCTGTCACCGTTTTGGAGATACGAGGTCACACATACACACAAAAACAGACACACACAGCAGATTAGCAGAGCTCTGCTGCTGGGCTGACCACCTCTGAAGAGGAATGAAGGAATAAAAGAGGAACCGCAGAACAGAGTGGGTGGTCAAAAGGAGATAAAAACACCTCATCTTCACTTTCATTGGAGCTCGTCCTCTTTCGCTTATCCTCTCTCCCCTCTCACTGTCTCACTCAGTGTGTCTCTCTCTCTCTCTGACGCTCTCACTGACTGTAGGTGTCATTAAGTGCAGAGCAGCTTAGAGAAACTCGTCATTAAAGCTGCAGCTTTAACGTCTCATCAACACCGTTACTCACTATTACCCCAACCTACAGCGCTGCTCACACAGTGACCTCACCAGCCTGCAGAATGAAGGACACACTCGCAGGAGTGATGACGTTAAAAAACACTGGACATTTTTAAAGTTCACAAAGTGCTTTAAAGAACAACTATAATGAGCCACAAAGGAAAACATACATTAATAATAATCATAAAATCTCAGACGGGAGCAGAAAACGCGTCTCACACTCTGATCATCTACAAGCACAGCAAAGCAGTTCTAATAAATCTGAATGCAGTGACATCATGGTAACTATCAACACTATTATATTTACATTACTGTATTTATTGTAGTTATCAATGTTTTGCTAACTATGTTGTGGTAACTATCAACATTATGTTAACTATGTTAGGCGAATCTACTTCATCTTAACTACAAATAGCATGCGATCAGCATTATGCTAACTGTTTTTCGATTAGCATTATGCTAACTATGAATTGAACACAATCAGTCTGATGCTAACTGCAAACTATAAAGCAACTTGGTTATTTATAAAAGTCTTGCCATCAACTTTCTGTTTATAATGAATATTTTACGCAATAAACGTTATGTTAATTATTAATGTTACGTTATATGCTTTATGTTAATAATGAATGTTTTTGCTCTAAACTTTATGTTGATAATTTTTTATGCAATAAACTTTGGTAATTATGAAACTTTCTACTAATAATGAATGTTATGCTATAAACATCGTGTATTTATGTCATGTGATCAACATCATGCTAACAGCCGAATGCTATGCTGACTATAAAAGCTGTGTGAGCTTATAAAGCTCATGGCTGCAGGAGTGCAGGGTGGGAGTGTTCCGTGTTCTGCTGAGAGCTGTGGTTTGGGAAATTCACTGACACAGCGGAAAGGTGTCTGTACTTCAGTAACACAGAGAAGAAAGACCACCTACAGGCGTCTCTGAGTGAGTGTGTTCCAGTGGGTGTACCTGTGGAGTGGGTGGCTCCACTTTCCGCTTCTTCTTCTGGTTCTGCTTGTTGGTGCGAGGAAACACTATCAGAGCCTCCTGCCACCTGCTCACACACACACACACACACACACACACACACACACACACACACATTTGCAATTAAACACTTTGTCTAAAAGGAAATACTAATGCACTCGTATGTGTGAAAACCTTTGCATGCTTTGAGTTTTTTACAAAGGCTGCGCATAAAAGACGACATTCTCAGCACGTAACGCTGCACTGACTGATTAGTCTACTAATCTACTCTGTACAGTCAGTTTGTTCATTCAATACCTTTCAGATAAATAAAATAAATACATTTATCAGCAGTTGTTGTGTAATTGGCCTACTAAACTGATTTTTAATTTTTCGTCTCCAGTTCCTCCCGCTAGTCAGGACTCCCCCAATCACATGATACTACCAACGCTAGGAGGGTGAAGGCAGCACAGGCTTCCTCCGAGACCTGTGAAACCAGCCAACGCTTCTTTTCAAAGTGCCGCTGACGCAACGTCACTGGACAGCCGAACGCGCTCGGAGGAAAGCGTCAGATCTGTTACGTCAGCTAACAGACTCCTGCGCTGACTAGCATCGCGTTGGGTGATGGAGGAGAAGGGGGGCCATCCTACCCACCCAGAGAGAGCGAGAGCATTTTGTTTGTATTACTAACAACTAATTACTATCAAACGAAGTAACCTGTAAACATACAGTACGGCGCAAAAGTCAGAAACCACCATTCAGTGATTTAAAATCAGCCGTTAAGTACAAATTATTTATTTTCAGGAGATGTTTCTGAGGAGATCTGATATAAGGTATACCACTTGCATAAGAAAGGAAAAGGTTAAAATACGTGGGGAAAAAAATGGCGTTCAAAAACTGATTAAAGTCTACAGAGAAAATGGGGCTCCTAACAACCACCTGGAAGACCTGGTCGACCCCAAAACTGCCCCCATCAGATAAACAGCACTTTAAGCTTTCATCTCTGAGAGAGAGGAGAAAATCAAGTTGCTTCAGATCTGAAAACATCCACAGGTGTTTCTGTCCATCCTTCCACTGTGAGAAGACGACTCAGTGCTGTGGGTCTGAAAGGATGTGTAGCTGTCAAGAAGAACCTCACTGAGAAAAGGAGACGGACACATCAAACAAAGAAGCTGAACGATGGACTGACCACCCCAGAGTCCAGACCTCAACACAACTGAATGTGTTTGATTACTTCAGAAAATGATCAACCAGCTTCTAAGACCGAACTTTGGAGGTGTGTCTGCAGATTCTTTGAGGAGCTGAAAGTGAGTCTCCTGAAAGGAATGGAAGCTGGAATAAAGGTGAAGAGTGACTCACACAGCTGAGATTAGATTTAGTTCTTAAGGCTTATGTGTGATTTCTTCTTATGCTAAAAAAAAATAACTTGTATTAAGTGGCCATTAAATACATTTAAAGGTGATCTCTGACTTTTGCACAGTTCTGGACATCTGCGATTTATATACATAAAAAAAAACCCAGCAAAATATGTGTAATAGTTTTTTCGACGTTTTCTTGTCAAAGGGTAATGTGAAGGTATGATGAATCTGTGTGTGTGTGTGTGTGTGTGTGTGTGTGTGTGTCTCTCACACTGATAACTGGCTTACTCTCTGTTGTGTCTATGCGAGTGAACATAGACTGCAAGGGTGTGTGAGTGTGCTTGCATTCATCTCTTCTTTGGGACACTTTGCAGTTTACACATCTACCTCGTGGGGACCAAAGACATTATGGGGACAAAAATACAGTCTATGAAACATGCCTTGTGCCCAGTGACAGTTAACAGAGTTACCACGGTAACAGCCCTGCTTTTTAGCAGATATTTGTGTTCCCAGATTTAAATTACATCTGCACAATCTCTGTAAGATTACAAGAAAGCGGTGTCCCCATAATGTCTTTGATCCCCACAAGGCAGGTGTGTAAACTGCAAAGTGTCCCCAAGAAGTGATGAATGCAAACACACTCACACACTCATGCACAGTCTATGTGCACTCGCATACCGACTCAACACAGAGTGCACACAGACTGTACATGAGTGTGTGAGTGTGTTTGCATTCATCACTTCTTGGGGACAAAAATACAGCCTTTGAAGTAGGCCTGTGGCCAGTGACAGCTGTCAGAGTTACCGCGTAACAGCCCTGTTTTTAAGCAGATATTGGTGTTCCCAGATTTAAATTACATTTGCATAACCTTTGTAAGATTACAAGAAAGCGGTGTCCCCATAACGTCTTTGGTTCCCACACGGGAGGTGTGTAAACTGCAAGGTGTCCCCAAGAAGAGGTGAATGTAAACACACTCACATTCATTACACAAGTCTATGTGCACTCTCATACAGACTCAACAGAGAGTGCACACAGACTGTATATGAGTGCGTTTGCATTCATTACTTCTTGGGGACAAAAATACAGCCTTTGAAGTGGGCCTGTGGCCAGTGAGAGTTGTCAGAGTTACTGCGGTAACAGCCCTGTTTTTAGCAGATATTTGAGATGAATACAAGACCGTGTGTCTTACCCATTGATAACCTCTCTGCTCTCTGCGCGGATGTAGTGCTCTTTCTCCGGCGTGCTGATGCACAATGAATGTTTCTGTCCTGTAGCACTTTCACCGTCCACTACATCCACGCACACGTTCAGGTTTATAGTGCCCTGGGGGAGAGTGCTGGCCTGCAACACAGAAAAAAAGGAATATACATCTATAAACATACATAAGTAATGATTTATTTTCATGCTAACGTTTAGATGAAGTAAGAAAATACACTAAAACACAGCTTTTAGCTACTGCTTTGAGTATGTTTAAGTATCTTCTTTGGTTTTGCGTAAGTAACGGTCAGTTTTCTTTTACAAACTGTTGTTAAAAGCACTAATTGAAACTCTTTTGGTATAAATGGGTTTAATCAGCTGAAAGGTTTGAGGGCCGACATCACAGCAAGGGGAGAAAACGTGTGGCCTTTGGCTTTAGCACTGTTACTGACGCTGGCACAAATGTTTACACTCATAAAGATGGTTCTTTAGTAAAGGCAATGGTTCTACATAGAACCATGAACACTCAAAGAACCATTTGCATGATTAAATGGTTCTCTGCATGGTGAAATCATTCTTCCCATTAATGGAGAATGGTTCTGTATAACACCAAAACTGCTATTGTTACAATGTCAAGCTTGCACACAACAGAGGAACCCTTTTTAGTGCTATATAGGACCTTTTTCAAAAAGGCTCTATATAGAACCATTGTCTTTATTAAAGAACGCATGAAGAACCACCTTTTGTTTTTAGAGTGTAGGCTTTAAAAGGTCATTTTTAAAATCAGATTTTTTAAATTTTTCTGCATTTTGCTGACAAAGCAGAGGTCGACAATAAGGTGGAACTTGATCAGTATTGTGGTAACATCTGATACATGGATATTGCCAGTACACTATTAAAAAAAAATGGTTCTTCAAGGGTTCTTTAATAAGGAAAATGGTTCTATATAGAGCCCTGAACACTCAAAGAACCCACTGCATGATTAAATGTTTTTTTGCACAGTAAAATGGTTCTTCAGTTTGATGGAGAATGTGCTGTATATGGTTCTGTATAGAACCGTTTTTGAAAAAGGCTCCTTTCTAGCACCCAAAGGGGTTCTTCCATTTTCACAAGCTTGACATTGTAATAATAGAAGAACCCTTTTTGGTGCTACATAGAACCCTGCTCAAAAATGTTCTATATAGAACCATCTACAGCACATTCTTAAGAAGACTGAACAACTGCATGTTTCATTACTAAGCCAGCATAATTATTCATGTTCAATTGGATTTAGTGCAGTGTGTGAAATGTTATATATTAATAATTGTATTCACAGTTTTTTGTGCATTTTATCTGTTTCAGAATATCGTGATTCGCACTGTGTATTGTGATATGCTACTTTTCCCATATCGCCCACCCCTAAAATTAACCCACTCAGAGTGGTTTGGTGTGAAATGGTTCAGAGGTCTTTACAGTGGTGGTGATAGGAACCAGGGGTCGCCATGACTACAACACAGATATAGACATTTTATTTACTATCCAGAACCACCAGTGAACCTACACGAGTCTTCTGAGTTTATATGGAATGTTGATGATGGAAAATAGTGGAAAATCTGAAATAATAAGTTTTCTTTGGGGACTATTTTGCCTCACAGCGCCCTGCATGTATCCCTCCACCATGAATGGAGTTTAAGGCCAAAACCTTCCCAAAATAAGTGAAAAACAACAACATCATCTCATTTCATGTAATAACTTTCTGTAAAGGAGCTTTTAGAGGCATCAAACTCTTCAGACATCTGGGCTGGATTCACAAGAGTGTCTTAAGAAAGAAAAAAGTGGCTACACATTTAAGAAAAAAAGTTAAGATAAAGTGTTATTCTTTAAAAAGGTTTGTAAGAACGTTCATTTCTTAACTTTTCTCTCAAGAACAATTACAAGAGTAAGTAGTATTCTTGAAAAAAATAATTTTCTTAACCGCTTCAATGGCCAGGGCCCACCGGCAGGCCAAACACTTCTATAACCTAAGAATACACACTTAAAACGATTCTTTAGCAAAGAAAATGGTTCTACATAGAACCACGAACACTCAAAGAACCATTTGCATGGTGAAATGGTTCTTCTGATCGATGGAGAATGTGCTGTAGACGATTTTTGAAAAGGGTTCTATAAAGCATCACAAAGCGTTCTGCTATTGTTAGAATATCAAGCTTGTAAGAAAAGAAGAACCCTTTTTGGTGCCTTTCTAGAACCATATACGACACATTCTCCACCAATCTGAAGAGCCATTTCACCATGCGGAGACCCATTTAATCACGCAAATGGTTCTCAGAGTGCTCATGGTTCTATACAGAACCATTTTCTTTGCTAAAGAACCATTAAAGAACCATAATTTTTAAGAGTGTAGCTAAAGCAGTTTGCATTAATGTCCCTGTAGTTACTGAAAAATAAGCGTTAGTATGTATTTAGACTGGGATTTTAAGCTGTTAACCTCACAGTCTCACACTTGTCTCTGACTGTAAGGACTGACAGAGTGAACGTTGAACTGTAACTCCTGATGAGTTTCACAACATATAACTGTTCAAATAAACCGAGCAGGATGTTCCCTGTCGGCTGCTTCCTCCACCAGCACTTCTAGTTCTTGTTTGCTCTTTGAACTGTCGGTTTGATTTTGTTTTACCCTCGTTAGGCCTGTTACAGTTATTACACAATTGCCTAAGCGCAGTTATTTAAGCTGCCTGCAGTCACTTTCCACAGTCGTCAGATTTCACAGTCATACTATACTGCGACAAACATAATGAGAACTGGGTGTGTTTTGGTCAGCGGTCGGCAACACATGGCTCTTTTACTGCCCTGTTGTGGCTCCACAGCTGAATTAGATTTGTAGGTAAAAATAAAATAATCCTCCTTTACAGTAAAATAAAGCTCTGCTGATCGTTCAACACAGTTTAACAATAAATGGTCTTAAACTCTGGAGTTAATGTAGAACTGCTGATTCACCCTTTAACCCTGAAGATCAGCACAGACTGCTGGTCACCACAGCAATGCAGACCACAGTCTCGCCTAGCTAGCAGCTAACGAAACGGCAAAGAGAGAGATTTAAGACGAGCATTAATTAATTTAGAGACAAATAGACGTATTTGCGTTTATAATCACTCCAGCTGGTTTCCTGATATGTTTAATCTGCAACGAGAAACTGTCAAACACTAAAATGTCGTGAGGCTTAAGTTTCTCATTCAAATTTTCCGTTCTACCTTGAATGGTGCAGCATCTACATTCTGGTGCCTCAGATGCACCATTTAAGGTGGAACGGGAAAGTTAGAATAACAAGCTGGTGAATGAGAAGCGACTTCAGCCTCGTAAAAAGGCAAACGTTGAGAGACATTTTACAAGAAACTGTTCAACTTTTGAGGAAAAGTTTCCTGCCAGAGATGTGAGAAAAGCAGCTATAGCTGAGCTGAAGCTTAAAGCAGAGCAAAGTAAGTCTGCGTTTTTGTTTATCCAAAATCCAAAAAAGAGAACATTGGCGAGTCAGAATCTTCGTCAGAACTGCGTAAGTGGGTTTTAAGCAGCAATGTCTTCTTAAGAACGGCTGGTGAATGAGGCCCAAAGTTATGAACTTCTTAGTGTCTGTCTTAAGATCCTAAACATCTTCAGGGCTGGACCTACAAAAAGCTTTCCTAAGAAAAAAGTTACGAAGGATTTTAAGACAAACCTTAAGAGGTTCATATGAATGTTCTTAAGTGCAATTCATGTAAAATAAATCGAAAGTTCTCAAATATTCTCTTAATTCTTCTTTTCTAATTGTTTTCTTATGCGGGCTATAGTTTATGTTCTTATTCAGCTTAGGTTGTCATGTAGGCCACGTGTCAGGCTTCAGTCCTCGCAGGCCGAAATCCTGCAGACTTCAGCACATTGAATACACCTGATTCAGCTCATCAGCTAATTATCAAGGCCTTCATGAACTGAGTTCAGAATGTTAGATGAGGGTAAACACTGATCTCCACAGCACTGACAGCACTTTGGCCCAGAAGGTCCCCAGTTTGACACTCCTTTATATGATAATAACACAGTTAAAGTTAAATGAGAGCCGTGATCATAAAGTGACTGCAGACCGCGTCCTGCTGACTGACCGTCATCCGGAGACGACTCATCAGTCACGTGAGACGAACGTTTCCTCAGTTCTGTAGAGCTGTAGGGAGAACCACTGCCCCCCGGAGGACAGAATGTCCCCAGTTTGACAAGCCTGCTGTAGACTATCAATATCATGCTATATTTTACAGATTACAGATTTTTTTTAGTTTAACAATTATATTTTGTGACACTTTTTTGACGTTACTGTTTAGGAGGTCAACACTGTCAATTCATACAGTCCAAAGCTCTATTCGGGTGGGATTAGTTCTCCACGGGGCGGTGGGGGATGAAAGTTTACCACAGGACGTCTGTAATGTTTATGAGCGATTCACACAGGATAAAAAATCTCGGTCTTAATGACGGAGATCGAGCAGCTACTCGATTTATGTGCCACCTTCACTCCAGAAAAGAGCAGAAACGATGTTTAATTTTGCTTTATTATTCTGTTTACCCTAACCTTTAACCTTGCTGTCTTAAGTAAATGCAGTGCATAATTAGCATTGACATTAGCCTAAATTCACACAAGTCAACTTATAAAATCAATTTTTTCTTATAATTTTTACAGGTTCTGAACTGAACAGATGAGATAGGACAGTAACGTTACATATCAGCCTCATTTCAGACATTTAGGACAATGAGGCTCAAGTCGGCTTCCTATTCTCCAGTTTCTTGTTCAAATTTTCCCGTTCCACCTTTAATGTAGCAGCGGTTACTTTCTGGAACCTCAAACAAATGCGCCAAATTTAAGGTGGAACGGGAAAACTCGAACACAAGTATGTGCCTCTGTGTCTCCAAACTTTCCACAGAATATAACAGTTTTTACCAACACGTTGATTCACTCGGGATTAAAATAATCTGGGATTATTTTTACTGTTCATTGTACAAAAGGTGCGGGAATGGTTACTAAGGAGTACACAGTCTGTAAACATGACGGACATGACGCATTCGGACAGGACTAACATCACTGAGACACGCTGGCAATAATTACATTACACACCTAAAACTAACCCTGTCCAAATAGGGCTTAAGACAAGTGTAAGACAGAAACATATTTAAGAACATATTATTTAAAGAATACCACGTTCTTATAATGCTTACAAGAAGAGTTAAGAAAGATATGAAAATTCGTCAGAGGTTTTTTGAAGAATAATAACTTTTTTCTTAAGAAGCTACTTTCTAAGGTACTATTTTTCTTTTTTTAGATACTTTTATGAACGTGGGCTGTGTCTCCTGTCACCACCACTGTGAACAGCTCTGACTCAGTAAGTTTCTCTAGAAAGGAGCGTTTCACACCAAATCTCAACCACTTAATTATGCAGAAATTTTAAAAAATCAGTGGAGTTCCCCTTTATATGGTAAGTGAACTACAGTTAACAACAAATAAACCACGTACAAACACAATGCAGTCACACGCTTTTAGGCACACGCACACAGCCCATATACAATACGAGCAACTGGACAACAGGTGTGAGCGAGCGAGCGAGAGAGAGAGAGAGAGAGAGAGAGCATTGACATTGAGTATATGTGAGTGTGTATGTGTCAGCTTTTTCTGAGTGCTGAGTCAGATTCAGGCAGAGACCATCTGTTCTCTCTCTCTCTCTCTCCCTCTCTCTGTCTCTGTCTCTCTCTCAGGTCATTACGGTGCATTTAGATGTGTGACATGAGGACAGTTTTCACAAAAAGCTTACAGCACAAAACTAAACTGACTAATATCAATATTTCATCAGCTCACGCCTTTGATGTCCTTTCAGTCTGCGATCAAAGCAAAAACAGTTTGACAATTTGTGATATTAAAGCACAGATTTCTGATAACGGTGTATGTTTTGGCCTGAAATACTGCGCGGTGTGTTATGACACTCCGTCTCTCACATTACAGCATGTTCCCTATCACAGAGAGAGAGAGAGAGAGAGAGAGAGAGAGAGAGAGAGAGAGAGAGAGAGAGAGAATGAGGATGTTGGCCAGTGTGCAAAACAGGAAGCACTGAGAGCGCCAGAACAAACTCCAATAGCACTGTTTTTTATCAGTGTGGATTCAAACTGCACAAAAACACGGGAAACCGTGCGTGTCTGTCCAGAAGTGACGGTCAGATTTTCCCTCTTCTGAGAGTTTCTGGACTCGTCTCAGAGTGAAATCTTCCAAATATCAACATGCGTAGAGAAAATTCTGGGAAATAGCTTCACAGCAGCCAGAATGCTGAGTGTGTCAGTGATTATCAGGTACAAGCTTGTGTTTGTGCTCAAAAAACAGGACCAACAAAACATTCGCGACTCTGTAAAGCACTTCTCACAAAAAGAGACTCGGTCTCATTTTCTCAAAACTAATAGAAAGAGTTTATATTTGCTTACTGAGGTTATTTGGGTTGCAAAATTCTTATCACATATAGATACATATATAATGCATATGGGACATCACTATTACATATAGATACCCTGTATCTCCAAATTCATAACTTTGCAGGAGAAGGAAAAAACCTACTTTACTTTTAATGTAAGTCAATGGAACCAGAATTTTAATAGGTGATAATGATCCACCACCCAAATAGTACCTGCTCTGTGAGGGTCCATGGGGGTCCTGACCACTGAAGAACAGGGTAAAAGGGGGCTAACAAAGTATGCAGAGAAACAGATGGACTACAGTCTGTAACTGTAGAACTACAAAGTGCACCTATATAGTAAGTGGAGCTGATAAAATGGACAATGAGCACAGAAACAAGGAGGTGGTCAGAATGTTACGCCTGATTGGCGTATGTATATATGGTGCATATTTTGATTATATATAGACACTTACATTTACATAACATTTGCATAACATATATGACATTAATTATAAACACATACATAAAGATGTATGCAAAAGTTCTGGCACCCCTAACCAAATTTTCGTCAATACACAGGAGTGAAAATTTACCTTTTTGTAAAATGTTAAACAACAGACATTTTATCTGTATCTCCTTTGGCAACAATCACCAAAGGAATGATTAGAGAAAAAAGGAGTAGCATCTGATGAAAGGAACACTGTGCTAACTGTTAAGCATGGAGGTGGATCTACCATGCTTTGGGGTTGTGTGGAAGCCAGAGGCTCAGGAAACATCACATAGGCAGATGGAAGAATGGATTCCACTAAATATCAGCAGATTCTGGAAGTAAATGTGACACAGTCAACCACGAAATGGAAGCTGAAAAGAGGGCTGCTACAACAGGACACTGACCCAAAACAGACCTCAAAGTCCACCATGAACTACTTCAAGAAACACAAGCTGAAGCTTCTGGAATCTTCCTCACAGACTTCAACATCGGTGAAAACCAGTGAAAATCTGTGGGTGGATATTAAACATGCTATGAATGCAAGATGGTACAAGAATATCACAGAACTAGAAGAAGCGCGGGTGAAAACTCCTAAAACAGGCACAGAAAGACCCCTAGCGATTGTAAGCTGTGATATCTGCCAGCAAAGGCACGAGAACTGACTTAGTACGGTGTGCAAACTTTTGCACAGGCTATAACTACTATTTTATTTTTCTATTATATTTTTTAAGTTTACCAAATATGAGGCAAATGTGCATTTTTTCAACAGTTTGCTGCAGTCAGGCCAAAAATCAACAAAATGTTATTTGTCCAGGGGTGCCCAAACTTTTGCACACAACTGTATGTTTGAGTACACAGCATCTAAGATGAGTAAACACTGCGCTGAGGGCTGGTTCGCTCACATTCTCTCTCTCTTTCTCGAGGACCTCCAGCTCAACAATCTCCCCCTTTGTAGAGAGGCCAGCCTTCAAACACACACACACACACACACACACACACACACACACACACACACACTCTCTCTCACACACACACACACACAGACACACACTCTCTCACACACACACACAATGGCTCTTTCAGCTGGAAAAGACCAGATACACACACACACACACACACATAGATGAACCAACACAAACTAACTCATCACAACTTTAACAGAGAGAGAGACAAAGATAGAGAGAGAGATAGAGAAGAGAGAGAGAGAGAGAGAGAGAGAGAGAGAGAGATAAATAGAGAGAAAGAGAGAGACACAGATATATATATATATATATATATATATATATACAGAGAGAGAGAGAGAGAGAGAGAGTAAAATACTGTGATCATTACATCACCCAAACAATCAGGGTCAATACCATCAGTTCTAAAACAACACACACACACACACACACACACACACACACCACACACACACACACACAGGAATGCAGCACAGAGCAGCGTTTCTGCTGCTGCCGTAATGAGGGGGCTGTTCACCTGCTTTCCAGGTTTGGTGCTGACACCAGTAAGTCAGTTAATATAACTAATAAATCAGTAAACCAATAATAAAGAACCTTCAGAACGTCTGCTCAGATACGCTTCTCACTCACTACAGAAACACACACACTCTGCAGTCTCTGATCCACTATTACTACCTGTTTCAACGCAAATGTAAACAAAGTTTTTGGACGTTCAGCTCAATATTTTCGCTCTGGCTTGATGACCTCCAATGCAGCGTCAGCTCACTCTCACTAAGGGACAAAAACACTGACCACTGCCCCACACAGCCCCCCGTCCACCAGCACTCTCCGAACATGTGACCAGATTAGAGTTAAATCCCCCCTTTTAATCATGAAGTTCTGCACCTGCACCCGTACCCACAAGGCACTGCAACACCAGACACACAAACAGCATCCCTCATTTTCTCTGTTCTTGTGAGAGAGAACCCAACCCAGCCTGGTTCAAACCCTGAACCCGACCCAGCCTGGTTCAAACCCTGAACCCGACCCAGCCTGGTCAAACCCTGAACCCGACCCAGCCTGGTCCAAACCCTGAACCCGACCCAGCCTGGTTCAAACCCTGAACCCACTCAAGCCTGGTTCAAACCTTGAACCCAACCCAGCCTGTTCCAAACCCTGAACCCAACCCAGCCTGGTCCAAACTCTGAACCCAAGCCAGCTTGATCCAAACCCCAAACCTAACACAGGCTGGTCCAAACCCTGAACACCCTGTACACCCATGACTGCACTGCTAGACACAGCTCCAACGTCATCATAAAGTTTGCTGACGACACAACAGTTGTGGGCCTGATCTCCAACAGCGATGAATCGGCCTACAGAGAGGAGGTTAAAATCCTGGAAAACTGGTGCCAGGAGAATAACCTCTCTCTAAACGTCAGTAAGACCAAGGAGCTGATCGTGGACTTCAGGAAGCAGGAGACAGTACACCCATCGATTTCCATCAATGGGACTGCGGTAGAGAGGGTCAGCAGCTTTAAGTTTCTCGGTGTTCACATCAGCGAGGACCTGACATGGGCAGTGCACACCTCACAGGTGGTGAAGAAGGCCCACCAGCGCCTCTACTTCCTCAGAAGGCTGAGGAGGTTTGGCCTGAACCCCAGCATCCTTAAGACCTTCTACACCTGCACTGTGGAAAGCATCCTGACGGGCAGCATCACCACCTGGTACGGGAACTGTACTGTTCGTGAGAGGAAATCTCTGCAGAGGGTGGTGCGGACAGCACAGTCCATCACCGGGGTTCAGCTCCCTAACCTATTGGATTTATACACCAGTCGCTGCCTGAGGAAATCCAGAAGGATTATGAAGGACCCCTCCCATCCTAGTCACTGTCTGTTCTCTCAGCTGCTGAGTGGTAGGAGGCTCAGAAGCTTAAAAGCCAGAACCAGTCGGCTCAAAGACAGCTTCTTCCCCCATGCAACCAGGCTATTGAACAGCCAGTAATCACTGCTCTGCCCAGCCCAACCCTTCCCATTACACGTACGTGCACCCACTGTACTCCCGCACTTTACTTGCATAGCTGGACTTTGAATACCTATCCAAAGACAATACTCTCCCCCTGCACTTCCACTTAACTTCCTGTACCTTGCACTTTACTAAATACTCTGCCACCTACTGTACCATCTTCTACCTCCACACCTAGTGTGATGATTTGCACATCTACATAGCATTGTAATATCCATTACTATATATAGTATATAGTTGATTACACTCACTCTACATTCCCAGTGCAATATTATATGTCTCGGTGCAATATTATTATTTTTAAGTTATTGTGTAAGATTATATGTATATATTTTAGTTAAATTGGTTTTATCTATTCTTCTATCCTATCTATAGTTTTGTTTATCTATGTGTAAATACTGTTCTCTGCATAATTTGTGGAACTCGCACTCAAGTTTTTCACTCACCTGTGTCCCTGTACTCTTGTGATGTGACAATAAATCTGATTTGATTTGATTTGATTTGAACCCAACCCAGCCTGGTCCAACCCCTGAACCCAACCCAGCCTGGTTCAAACTCTGAACCCAACCCAGCCTGGTCCAAACCCTAAACCCAACCCAGCCTGATCCAAATCCTGAACCCAACCCAGCCTGGTTCAAACTCTGAACCCAACCCAGCCTGGTCCAAACCCTAAACCCAACCCAGCCTGATCCAAATCCTGAATCCAACCAAGCCTGGTCCAAACCCTGAACCCAACCCAGCCTGATCCAAATCCTGAACCCAACCCAGCCTGGTCCAAACCCTGAACCCAACGCAGCCAGGTACAAACTCTGAACCAGACTGGCAGGGTCGCCTACAGAGCAGCGCTGGTAGCTGTTAATGAAGTGATGCTCTTTTTATTTGAGGGTCCCATTTCAGAGGGAAGATTTCAACCACTGCCCTGTGACTTAGGTCCAAGGGGTTAGGGTGACACTTGAAAACAAGCGACAGGGGTAAAAATAAGAAATTTGAGAAGGGATTGAGCCTAAATCTGAGCCAGCCTGGCCCAAACTGAATCTGTATCAATAAGTATGTATAAGACTATAAATATAAATAAACAATGTGCACAAGCTGAGATAAAGAAGTGCTATTATGAGTGGAGACATGTTAGTCGTTCTAAAAATAACCAGATCTAACGGGAGAAAATAAAGCATGAATGAAGCTCCACTGAGCCAGTCCAGCTCCTCTCCAGAGCGTTTTACACAAAACAATTACAAAAACGATGTTTCCAGGGCCTTCTAGACAAAACAGCACCATACTTACCAAACGCCCTCTGAGCGCATGTGTGAGTGTGTTTTATGTGTGTGTGTGTGTGTGTGTGTGTGTGTTTGTGTTTGGTTGTGAGAGTGTGTTTTATGTGTGTGTGTGTGTGTGTGTGTGTGTGTGTGTGTGTGTTTGTGTGAGTGTGTTTTATGTGTAAGTGTGTGTGTGTGTGTGTGTGTGTGTTTGTGTGAGTGTGTTTTATGTGTAAGTGTGTGTGTGTGTGTGTGTGTGTTTGTGTTTGTGTGTGTGTGTGTGTTTGTGTGAGAGTGTGTTTTAAGTGTAGTGTGTGTGTGTGAGAGTGTTTTATGTGTGTGTGTTTGTGTGTGTGTGTGTGTTTGTGTGAGAGTGTGTTTTAAGTGTAGTGTGTGTGTGTGTGAGAGTGTTTTATGTGTGTGTGTGTGTGTGTGTGTGTGTGTGTGTGTGTTTGTTTGTGTGAGAGTGTGTTTTATGTGTGTGTGTGTGTGTGTGTGTGTGTGTGTGTGTGTGTTTAACCCTTGTCCAGCCCTCCAGTCAGCACTAGGAACTGATCCTGAGGAATGTAAATGGAGGTGGATTACAGTGGGGTCAGTGTTGGCGTCTCTCTCACACACACACCCACTACCCACCAGCAGGGCCCCCTAATCACACACAACCTCTCTTACAATAATCTCCCAGCTCTCTCGCTCTCACACACACTCTCCCACACACTCCCACACACTCCCACACACAGTACTGTGTAAAAGTCAGAGACCGCCTTCATTTATGTAATATACAGTCGAAAGGCCATTAAGCACCAGTTACACATTTTCAGCAATAGGAGAAAAACAGAAAACATACAGAACATACATGCACAAAAAACTACCCAGACGCCTCAGAAGCGAACTCTCATCAGCTGTTCAGTGTTCAGTGTGTGACTCTTCACCTTTATTCCAGCTTCCATTCTTTTCAGGAGACTCACTTTCAGCTCCTCAAAGAATCTGCAGACACACCTCCAAAGTTCAGTCTTAGAAGCTGGTTGATGATTTTCTGAAGTAATCAAACACATTCAGTGGTGTTGAGGTCTGGACTCTGGGGTGGTCAGTCCATTGTCCAGCTTCTTTGTTTGATGTGTCCGTCTCCTTTTCTCAGTGAGGTTCTTCTTGATCAGCTACACATCCTTTCAGACCCACAGCGCTGAGTCGTCTTCTCACAGTGGAAGGATGGACAGAAACACCTGTGGATGTTTTCAGATCTGATCAGCTTGATTTTCTCCTCTCTCTCAGAGATGAAAGCTTTAAGTGCTGTTTATCTGATGGGGGCAGTTTTGGGGTCGACCAGCTCTTCCAGGTGGTTGGAAAGAGTGGAAGAGTTTTGGAAACTCTTGTTTTTCCACTTATTTTACTTTCTCCTTCCTGAAGCAAGTGGATTATCATATATCTAATCTCCTCAGAAACACCTCCTGTTTTTCTTAAAGGCATGTATTTTGCTTTGACTTTCTTGCTCTTTATCCAAGCTGATTATCTCATTTATAATCTCTTCACAAGTATCTCCTGAAAAATGAGTGACGTGGACTTAATGGACAGTTTTGAATGGAAATTAAACAAAGAGTGGTCTCTGACTTCTGCACAGTGCTGTATATAAGCTAATCCAGTACAAACTCCACACACATATGAATGACCCTCCTCCACTGCTGGTTCCCATGGCTGCTGTTCTCAGGCCAGATAACTTCCATTCCCAATCGAGAGAGAGCAAGAGAGAGAGAGAGGGAAGGAGAGAGAGGGAGAGAGAGTGAGAGAGAGAGAGAGAGAGAGGGAAGGAGAGAGAGGGAGAGAGAGTGGGAGAGAGAGAG